CCAGCGAAAACGAACCAGGTTGGCATCCCACCACGTGTGCATCAGTGACTACACCATCCAATGCAGACATTCGTTACTATAGGCAACAGCACAAATACGCATCTTAAATGGCTTTGGCGATATCGACTCGTGTCGAGCTCTATGCGATCCAGGCTCTCAGGTAAGTCTAATGAGTACGCGATATTTTAATCAACTGGCTCTGCGGAAGCAGGAAAGTGCATTGCAAATACAAGGCGTTGGCAGTGGCAATCGCTCATATATTAATGGCCGGGCAGTCTTGCGCATATTTTCGACTTTCAATGCTTCATTTGACTTGGATGTTGAATTCTACATCATCAACAAAATTACATCAGCAGTCCCTGTGGCTCCAATCATGGAAAACTATTGGCAGCATTTACGCAATTTGCCTTTGGTAGACCCGAAATTTGGCGAAACTGATGTTATAGATGCATTGCTTGGCTGTAACCCCCAGACGTATGGGGCCAATTGTTGGCAGATGGCATAGTTCGTGGCGAACTTGATGATCCTGTGGCACAAAATACGTAATTAGGCTGGGTTGTATTCGGACCAGCCGAAGCAACCGTGCATAACTACAAGGCGGAACAATCTATGGCATTGCGTGTGGAGGCGCCTGATGAGCGAGTTGATGACCTTCTACACAGGCTATTTGAATCCAAAGAAACTGACATGGCTAAAGGCGATAAACTAGGAGCAGTTGATCTTTGCGAATGCATTTTCATGAGCACACATAAGCGTTTTGATGATGGCAGTTATTGTGTACAAATACCATTTACACCAGATGCTCCACCACTTGGGAATTCACATCAGATGGCACTCAGGCAATTTCACCAGTTGGAACGAAAATTGGCATCCAACCCAGAGCTGACGCAAAGATATGTGGCTTTTATGCGCGAATACGAACAACTTGGTCACATGCACCCTATTCAGCATCATTCAAGCGACCCATCTCAGGCATACTACATTCCACATCATGCAGTCATGGCAAAATTCCGAGTCGTATTCAATGCTTCCGCAAAAACGTCGAATGGCATATCATTAAATGATACACAACTCGATGGCCCCCCAATACAGGATTTATTACTTAACCTTTTGCTTCGCTTCAGGCAGCATCGAATAGCATTCACAGCTGATGTCGAGAAAATGTTCAGGCAAGTCAAGGTTGACGAGAGGAACAGGCAGTGGTAACAGATCCTCTGGCGGGAAATTTTGTACAAATTTCCAACCTACATACTATGACTTGAATGTTGGATGTTTCTATAAATGAATTTATTAAATATAATTATTATTTAGAAAATTGGAAAACAATTATAAATACCTTTGCACTACCACTTTACACACGTCACTTTGAGTAATTTAAACAAAAAGGAAACGTAGTTTATATAAATAATTTTATTAAATTAATTATTAAAACTCCGATATTACTTATTAATTAATTTTACTTATTTTAATAAATTATATTCAATTTAATTTAAAAAAAACGCGCACATGTAAAAAGTAAAAATATAAACAAACATTTGCAAACGTCAAAAACGTTAGAATGCAATTCGCTGCAAAAAGATGCACAAGGAAGCTTTTGTGCAAAAGTGTTAAAGTGCATTAAGTTTAACTAAGATCAACTCAAAGCTTTGTGTACTTTACACATAAAGTTCAAGAGGATGCGTATAAAAGACGGCGCAATTTTCTAAGAATGGAGTGTGTCTTGTATGATCACTCGGTGGCATTGTATGTCAACATATAAAATAAATAAATATAAAAAAATTGTCTGACACAGTGGCAGTTTTAAGCCTTGTGTATAATCTATTTAAAATATATATATAATTGTTTACGAGTACATAGGCGGTTTTAAGTCCAGGTGCGGAGACACTTTATATACATATTCAATATAACAAGACATATATACATTCACTAACCCCATTTCGTCCAGTAGGTACTCATCGAGCAGGATAATCACCGAAATTATACTAGGGTACAACCACGAAACCGGATCAGCCACCACTGTGAACTCTAACCAACCTCTTTGAAATACGACTAAGGAAATACATTCAGAATTTGCATACGTTTAAAATCTCAAGTTATTGAAATACGAATGAAGAAATAATAATCTATATAAAGCTATCTTATATAAACCGTTGAAAATTGTACAAATTGTTGATCTCCAGGTTTATCTAGTTACGTTTATTTGAATTCTTTTCTTTATTACATATTATTTTATTGCATTATTAATATTTTAAATAAATCTGCATTGAAAATTTAACCGCCGTACTTTTATTTTGAGAAGTCCTGTCTCCGCGATTATAAATTTATTGTAGCGACCCCCTGGAAAAGACTGAGGATACCCCAGCATAAATTATAACGAAACTGAAAAATCCGTGTCGTTACAGGCTAAACTTTCATACAAAAACTCTGGCTGACAAAATTGGCATGAGACGACCCATTACCACTTGAACTGTTGCAAGAATGGCTCATATACTGAAGGCAGCAGTCCTAACTGGAGGCAGTGCAAATACCGCGTTGGATAGACATGCAACCCGGATATCAAATACAACTTCACGGCTTCTGCCATGCTAGTGTCAAGGCAATGGCTGCAGCACTCTATTTGGCAACAAACCACAATGACAATATCACTAGTCACATTATCGCATCAAAAACTAAAGTGGCACCATTACATTCGGTAACAGTACCCCGCTTGGAACTTTGTGCTGCGCAATTGTTGGCTACTCTTTTACACGAAACAAGGCAGGCTTTGCATTTGGATCACGTACCATACACTCTATGCTCCGACTCAAATATTGCTCTATGTTGGCTACGCAAAAACACATCACAATTAAAGCAGTAGGTTGCTAATCGCGTTGGCTGCATTCAATCGATGACGGATATCAGGCATTGGCATCACATTCCTACCAAACTCAACCCAGCTGATTGCGCCAGTCGTGGCATATCCCCTTTGGCGTTGCATAACTACGCATTATGGTGGCTCGGTCCTAATTCAACTGATTATTCAATCAATGAGCTGCACCACTGTGCACCAGCAGAGCTGGCAATAATGGAGGGCGAGTTAAAACCAGTTAAAGTAAAGGCATTGCAGGTAATATTTCAACTCTTATAACAGACACACTACACTGCTGGCGACGAATTGGTCGTCATAGATCTGTTGGACCGGTTCAGTCATCTTGGCAAGCTATTGCGCACTACTGCATACATATTGCGTTGCAAAAAGGCACATCAGCGTTTTCGTTCGCATACACACATCTGTACAGGCGAAATGGACATTGCTTTAAATCACCACATCAAGGCAGAGCAAGCGAAATATTTCGCAGCGGAAATCAAGCAGCTGAAAAAGGCACAGCCCATATCCACATCCAGCAAGCTCATTGCACTGAGTCCATTCATCAACTCCACAGGGGACAATATATTGCGTGTAGGCGGAGGCCTACATAATGCGAGGGTGGCAGAGCCACAGCGTCATCCAATCATTCTTCCGAAGGATTGCACATTGGCCAAGCTTTTAATATGGCAGGTGCATCAGGACACACTTCATGGCGGTATACAAATTATGCTTCATACGATTCGACACAAATATTGGATTCTACAGGCACACATTTTGGTCAAACAATGCATACACTCATGCGCGATTTGCAGGCGGCATAAACACATAATGCTAAAACAACGTATGGCGACATTACCAAAGGCTCGGGTCACCCCATCTCCACCATTTACAAGATCTGGCTTAAACTATTACGGTCCATTCAACATACGAATTGGCTCCAAGGCTGTACGAACCGTGCGGAAGGCTTACGTGGCAATCTTTGTGTGCATGGTAACCAAGGCAGTGCACATCGAACTGACTGAAGATCTCCCTTCTGAGACATTCATGCATTACACCCGTTTCGTAAACCGGCGTGATCCATGTAACCATTTATACAGTGACAATGGCACTACATTCATTGGCGCAGATCGCTTAATGGCCGCTGACTTACAGGCTTGGCATAATGAATATTCTCAACAGCAATTGGCAAATCGAGGCACAAAATAGCATTTTCTACCACCTGGCGCACCTCATCAAGGCGGTTTATGGGAAGCTGCCGTTAAGTCAGCAAAGAAGCACTTACTACGCATTGTTTGCACCCATTCCATTTACTATGATCAGCTACATACTCTACTTGTACATATTGAGGCTTGCTTGAATTCACGTCCACTTATACCATTGCATGACACTTGTGACGACAAGATGGCTCTATCACCTGCAGATTTCCTAATTGGCAGATCTCTATTGGCAGTGCCAAGTGAACCTATTGGCAAGGTGCCTAGCAACAAATTACCATACTGGCGACAATTAAGGCAAATGCAACAGCATTTTTGGCGACAATGGCATGATGAATATCTTTCAACTTTGCAACAACGTTCCAAATGGCAATGTTGACAACATCAACATAGGCGATGTCGTGGTTATCCGGCACGAGAATCTACCAGCAACACATTGGCGGCTTGGCAGGGTGATTAAACTTCACCCAGGCGAATGCATGCGACCTATCCAGAAGATATGCAGGCTTGTGGAGCATCCTGAACGTACCCGTCCAGCCGGGCAGGATGTTTGAGATTTGGCAGAGCAACCAGGCGATATGGCGTCACCCATTTAGTAGTTTTTGACAGCTGCAGTTTGACGTCTGGCAAACAATAATTTTTGGCTTCATTTTTGCTTTTCTTCTTTCCGTTTCCTTTTTTTGACTTCTGGTTGGCGATGTGCGTATCTTATCCATCGTGGCGTGGCTGATTTATACAAAGTGTTGTATTTTAAAAATTGTGATCAAATAAAGAAACATTATATTTGCGTGTATGAAATTATTGTGTTTCATTTTTTTCATACAGTATGTAAATAATTTCTCCCACTCAATAAGAATACTATTAAGAATACTATTCTAATAGTAATAAGAATACTATTCTATATAAACATAAATATAATAAATTGAGTCTGTTTCAAACCGTAGAACAAGAACGGTCTTTTATGTTGCTCGAATATATATTAATCATTTGAGCTTAATACACTTGAACTAGTATTTAAAAAGGGAATGGAAAAGTCAGTTTCACTCGAAGATTCTTATGAAATCTGCAATTTTCATTTATTTACTATAGAATAAAACTTAAGTTTTAAACTAAATACTAAATAAAAACTTACATTTAATACTTCAGACAGTTCAAAAGATTTTATTTTTTTTCTATTATTTAGATTTTTTGTATTCAAAATTTTCTCACTTATTTCTCACTTACAATTAAAATATAACATAAGTTTAAAGAGATAAAACAAAAAAATTAAATAATAAAAGCATATTATAAATAATTAAATAGATAAATAAAATAATTAATAAATAAATATTAATGTAGTTTTGTTTATATTTTTTACTGTACCGCATCATGTGTTAAAATAGTATTCTCAACGACATTTTCATTAAAATACGTTCCACTTTTATTTTGTACATACATTCCACATTGAACCAGAATGTGAACCAGATCAATTCACGGTTCACCCCATTGTTATTGTTTTGCATGTAAAATTGAACGGATTATTGTTTGCTGAAATACAACCATTTATATACACATAGCCAATAAAGTCTACGTACATCTTACGAATTTTGATATGTGATAAAGAAACAACATAAATAAATATTTTAAATTAAAATTTTTACATATATTTATTCTTTGAAGTCTAAAGTTTAAATAGCAAAAAACAAAAATTGCGTTTGTTTGTTCATTCTTGAGATAACGGGATAAAAGTGTCCCTGCATGTAATTATAGGCCATATAAAGTCTGCGTACCGTTTGTTTGTTTAGATAATACCGTTAATTTTCAAGCAGTTTGTTCTTATTTTTGCTCAATTGGTATTATTAAGCATTTGAATTTAACATTTTGCGAGCTCAGTGATCAATTAATTTTTAAGTAGTAACTATTTTAAAGTATGAAATTAAGGGGAAGAGAAATCAGTATGCACGAAAAAAAAATATAAACTATGGAAAGATGGAAAAAGTTGCCGAAAAATTTGTGAAACTATTGAAAGAACGCATTCATCAAAACCGCGTCCTGGACGTCCGAAACTTTTATCAGTCCGAGAAAAGCGAAAAATAGTTCATATGATCAATATTAACCATCGTATTTCTTCTTCGAAAATTGTGAAATATGTAAACCATTCATTTAAAAAAAGTATTTGTGCGGAGACTGCTGGAAAAGTATAACATAAAGCTGAATATCGTTGTAGGGTCACTAGATAGAAACCATATATTTCACTTGTTAACCGACAAAAGCGCGTTGAATATGCAAAGAAATACATAAATAAACTTCCGGAGTTCTGGAAACACATGATATTTTCAGACGAAATCAAATACTGCATCTTTGGTATAAAAGGTCGTTAAATTGTGTGGCGGAAATGAGGAGCGGCGTTAGAGAAACAAAATCTTGTTGGTACAGTCAAACTCGGCGGTGGTGGAGTTATGGTATGGGGGTGCATGGTAGCTGATGGTGTAGGCCAGTTGGAATTTATAAAATCGGCAATGAATAAATGGGGCTATTTAAACATTTTAAAAAGAAATTTGAAACAAAGTGCAGATAATTTTGGCTTATCCATGACATTTTGGTTCCAACAAGACAATGATCTGAAACACGCAGCGGGGATAGTTAAACTTTGGCTTTTGTACGACGTTCCAAGACAGCTTAAAACGACTCGAGAATTACTTGATCTCAATCCCATTGAGCATCTTTTGGATTTATTGGAAAAAACAATTCGTCAGCATGTGATACCAAGTAAAGAGGCGATGGATTACAATGCAAGCAGAATGGGCGAAAATTACTACTGAAGAAACTCAGAAGTTGGTTAATTCCATTCCAAAGAGATTAAGTGAAGTTCTAAAACAGCATTGCTACCCAATGTGTATTAAATTAATGTGTATTAAATTAAATTAAATTTAGCCTTATTTTTAATATTTCTACCGATTTTATCAGCTTTTTTATAACTGTACGCAGATTTTATGTGGCCTATATTTACATGCAGGAACACTTTTATCCCGTCATCTCAAGAATGAACAAACGAACACAATTTTTGTTTTTTGCTATTTAAACTTAAGACTTCAAAGAATAAATATATGTAAAAATTTTAATATAAAATATTTATTTATGTTGTATTTTAATATCACATATCAAAATTCGTAAGATGTACGCAGACTTTATTGGCTATGTGTATATATACATATGTTATATATTTATATGACTTCACTACTCGACTCTCCCAGTATCTGAAAAATTAAGCTGAAGAAACCGATATATGCGCACAATGGAATAACATCTCTCATTCTATGTGTACAGCTGAAGAGGTGATTGTTTATCACCATAAACAAAGAAACAACTGGTACAACCAAGAGTGTCGGGACCGCAGAGAAAGATGCAGCATATCAAGCCACCCTGCGGACGCGCACTGCAAAAGACGATATCGGCAAAAGGGACACATCTTTTCTGACGAAAAAGAAAGGATTGATAAAATAATCGTCCCGCATTTTGATCATAACGGAGTTAAAACATCTATAATACGGTTCAAAAACAACAAAGCTGCAGGTACAGATGTTTAACCGCCTGAGTTGTTTAAAGCTAGTGGCGAAGAGCTATGAAAATGCATGCTAAAGCTCTTGAGCAAAATATGTTCCGGTAAATGCAAGCCCAACGATTGGAATTTAAATGTGCTTTACCCAATCCACAAAAAAAGTGATCCTGCAAACTGCGTCAATTATCGCTAGATCAGCTTCTTAAATATCGCATATAAGGTTCTTTTAAACGTACTATGTGAAGGATTGAATCCAATCGTCAACCAACTGATTGGACCTTATCAGTGTGGCTTCAAACCAGGTAAATCGAATTTCGGCCAGATATTTACAGTACATCGAATCGTGGAGAAGACCCAAGGAAAGTAAATCGACACACACTACCTTTTTGTCTATTTCAAAGCCACTTTCCAAACTAGGGTCAGAAGCATTCATTGGGTTGCTATGTTTTAATTTGATATCCCAGAGAACTTATGCGGCTATGTAAAATGGCATTGAGCAACACCACAACCTCCGTTAGAATCCTGAAGAAACTCTCCGAGCCGTTTCATACCAAACGATGTTTCAGAGTGACTCTTTGTCGTCTGATCTTTGACTTTATGCTGACAACGATGATCCAAACAACAAACTTAAACCACACTGGCACAATATTTTACAAAAATGTAATGCTGCTTGCATATGCCGATGATCCTGAAATCATTGACTTGAATGCCGCATTTTCCAACTTAGAAAAACAAGCGAAGCAAATGGATCTTGGGGTATATGAAGACAAAACAAATTACGTTCTGGCAACAAACAAATCTCCTGAGCGTCTTGAAACCCACATCACTGTTGACAATAAAAAGTTCGAAGTTGTGAAAGACTTTGTTTATTTGGCATAAACACCAAAAGTGAACTCAGCCTAGAGATGCAATGTAGAATCACTCTTGCCAACAAATGTTGCTTCAGGCTAAGTAAGCAATTGAGTAATAAAGCCCTCTCTCGACAAACAAAAATCACGCTCTACAAATCTCTTATCATGCCTGTCCTGTTGTATGGTGCAGAAGCTTGGACAATACCAAGAGTGATGAGAGGGCGTTAGGAGCATTCGAGAGAAAAATTCTTCAGAAGATCTATGGTTCCTTACGCGTTGGCGACGAATATCGAATTAGATAAAACGATAAGCTGTATGAGCTATACCGCGATATTAACTTAGTTAAGCGCATAAAAATTCAGCGGTTACGCTGTCTTGGTCATGTCGTGCGAATGGAAGAAAGTGGTCCGGCTAGAAAGGTATTTGATTCGGTACGCGTAGATGGAAAACGCGGTGGAGGACCTCCGTATCTTTTGTGGAAAGACCAGGTGATCAACGATTTGGGGGCGCTCGGAACTAGCAACTGGAGTCAGAAAATAATTAATCGTGCTGACTGGCGGAGGCTACTCTACACGGCCAAGAACGACTCACGTCTGTAATGGC